ATTCCCAAGAGCCCAGGCTTCACGAGTTTTCAACGAAAATGAAAGACAAGGATCTTTTCGTGCTTTTTCATCCAATTCACTGAGCAAGGTAGTTTGATCTGAAATGTGAAAAAAAATAAAAGTAACTGTTTCTTGAAATGAAAAATCTTAAAGACAGGTTTCATTCTGCTGAAATTCCAGTCCATTGTTCTGCTCATTTGATTGCATCCTCTATTCCACAGATAATAATTTATCTTATCTACAAGTAATTTATCCTATATATAATAATAACTTATCTACAGATAAAAATGCCATACCATACAAACAGTAGACATTATTTCTTCAGAAAATATAAATCATACCTATAGTATTTGCAACAGATATGTAATATAGTAGTCGATAAGAGGTAAATTCATGACAATTTGGAGAATCGGGTAATTCTTTATATAATAATTTCAACTGGCTTTGACACTGGTTAAATTCTTCACGATCACCCTGCTCCAGTGCAATTCGTGCATTTGTCTCGTAAACATTCACAGTAAAATCGGTCCTTATGCACTGAATCTAAACACTCACCATACAGTAGTTATGTTTCCAATCTTTAAAATTTCTTCTAAATGATATGATTATGAAATGCAAATATGAATAACACGTTTGGAGTGGCCAATCTAAAACATATCCACAACAACTTATTAGTTGACCATTCATTTATCATTCAATTTATCATTCTTCCTTTATCAGTTTACCAGAAGCTTTGAATTTTGAATAGAAACTGAAAATTCTTTTTCGCTTTTTCGAAAAGTGGAAAATGTTCACATTGTATGGTTTGTTCCATTAGATCAACAGGAATTGATAAAAATTTCAAATTATTAACAAGATTCAAAAACAAATCAATAAACTAAGCTATTTTAGCAAAAAAAAAAAAAAAATGTGAGATATTCTATACTCTTGGAACATAACATGTTTAATGTTTAGTAGTAAATTGTACAGATTACCATCAAATCTTGACGGATACTTCTTAACTGATCATTTGCATATGTATAATCTCGATTAGTTGCATATTTCTGCTGCACCAATTTCAGTGCTTTCTCCAGTATCTTCAGTGGTCGTACCGTGCTTGGCTCTGGAGCCTAGAATAAAAAAAAAAAAGGAACTATTCAGCAATTAAATGCATTTACATGTTATATATGAACGTTTGTGCATGTTTATAATGAAATAAATAACAATTAAAAAAGGTTTAATAGTATTATGCAAACAGAAATACCTCAAATCTTCACATTTGAACTATGATTAAAAGACTAAAGAACGAGAAACTAACCGAAGTAAGACGGAAGTAAGATTTTTCGATATCCATACATGTTCCAACAATGTTATCACTGGTCCCTTGTTCACCCTCCCGATCAATGTACCAATCTAGACGACGACGCATCTCTGTGAATTTTGCCCGCCGTGCTTCATCATCTCGAGCAAAACGTCTAGCACGTTCTTCACGCTGCGCATTACTTCGTTCATCAGCAGCCCAACGCCCAGATTTTCCACTATTCTTTTTTTGTTTCTTCTTTTTTTTCTGCGCAGCGGTTTGTTTGAACTAAGGTCATTGAATTGAAAAAAAAAGAGAAAAATGTTTTTATGCCACTTATATTGAATAAAATAATGTGCTTTTTTTCAAATCCTTTCTTCTACTCTTTTTCAGCTTGATTTATATTGAAATTTTCACACCTAAATTTAACTTTGTAAATTTTTTTTATTTCATCGTAAAGAACTTTTACTAACTATAAAAATCTTTTTTCCAAAAAAAGTAAAACACACTTTTGGCTGCTCATCAACCGGATTATCTTCATCGGATGGAAGACGAACACGAGGGCTGAACGGCACCCGCCTTTTAGACTGTTCACGAAACGTAGGAGATCGTGAATCTCTCCGATGACTCATCTCATGTTTAGACTTCTTCAGTGACCGTTTCTCCATTTCTGTGATTGCATTTAAACCTTTTTTTAGTTGACTAGCTGGTGTCCAACCCATTTTCAACTCAAAGTTCACTTCGGAAGGCAATGGCTCCTAAATAAAATAGATAATCTGTAACTGGAAAAAAAAAAACTATGAATCTTTAGAAAATTTACTAAAATATGATTTTTCATTCCTCTTTACTTCAATATCACTCCTGATTAATGTAAACATAATATGTTAATGATAATCATATAAATATTAATGATCACATTAAAGATAACTTGGAGAAAACGTTTAAACTTACACGATCCCAGTCAACTGCTTTATAAGCACCAGACATTAACAGAGGATTAAGTTTTTGTTTGAAATATTCTTCTAACTTATCGCGATCTTCCTTCTTTTCCACTGCCATATACGAACGTTCCACATACCTCCTAAAAATATGAAAAGGTTCTTCAGGCTGAATAACTCTATCAAACGAGCAGTTATATTTCAATGGATAATAACGTCCCATCTTCTATATTTCATATATAGAGACAAATCAATATAAAATTTCTACTTTTTCGACTGAAAAATTATTTTCAATAGAAGTAATTGAATGACTCATTGCTATTCCAATTTCGCTCAAGCTGAGTAATTGATAGTTTTTGACTAAAAGAAAGATTAGATAATTTGCCAATGGTAAGTTCACTGAATAAAAAAACTGCAAAAAAAAAAAAGTTACTTGACAGGATCCGGTATAGTTGGCGATTCCAATCCAAATGATTGAGAATTCTGATGAAAAGCTGGTGCAGTGTTAAGTCCTCGTGGACGATTAATTGAAAAACGTATGGGATGCTGTGGAGCGGTATTGTTTCGGCCATATTCTCCTCTTCCTGATCCTGATACTAGTGTTGATCTGTTCCCATTAAATCCAAACTGTCGTGGTTTAGCAGTAACATTTGACGATGCCCATGGATTCATAAAATCTGGATGATAATTGACATTTGCTGATTGTAAATGTGTTCCTGATGGAGTAAAACCATAATTCATTCCTACATAAATCGAATTTTCCTGTGTTATACCATAAGTTTGGGATGGTTGTGGTGGTAACGATGATGTCAGTGATGACGATGATGATGATGGTGGTGGTGGTGGTGGTGGCGGTGGTAAACGAGGTAAAAATGGTGACATTCCAAGACTATGTTGTTCCATCCATGGATAATAATGCATTATTTGAGAATGTATATCAGGTTGAGTTTGAGAATGATATGATGTCATAGATGAAATGTTCGAAGAGGTGGAGGTGGCTGAAACGTTAACCTTTTTCAAGGCTTCCTGTGCTTTTTCCCAAGCTGCCGTCTGATCATCTCGTGGTGTTGACACTTCGATGTTAGCATTTTGGGGTGGCATTGGTATTCCAGCAATACAACTGTTATCCGCCGAATCAGGTATCCAAGTATATCTGAAATAAATCATACTTCTAGTCAAGTCCTATTGTAATATGACGCTTACAAATTTCCTTGTCACAAATATAACTTTTCTTAATGCAAATTCAAATGAATTTCTTCAATAAATTTGAAGAAATAGTATTTCAGTGAATTATTATATTGAACACAATTTTTAAATAAAGAAATATATCAAGAACTTCAAATTAGTTTAGTATTCCTACAGTGTCTGTATTATATAGCTCAGTCTAATACAAAGTTATTATCAATTGTCGGAATGATAATCATAGATTAGCAATATTGCTACTACTTTGATCTTCAATGTTGCTACTACTTTGATCTGACGAAATTCCAATGTAATCGGGAAAATTACTCGGAAAATAGCATACGAAAAGAAAAATGATAGATATGCCTTTTTATCATTTTTTATTCCTACTCCAGACTCTGCTAAAACGCTAACCCATTTCAGTAATAATCAACATATCAAGTGTTCGCATTAAAACCAATAATCCAGAATATGACGGAAATGAGAAGGATACAAAAAGAAATGTAATAAAATTCTATTTTTAATAGAAAGCAATTTGAAATCCACAATAAAAAGAAAATTAAATTTTTTGCAAAAAAAAGCAATGAAAAAAACAAAGTTATAAACATAATTTTATATATTACAGTTATAGAATAAAGTGGAAATTAAACGATTACTTACGTTCCAGATGAATTATTGCCTGACACTACTGATGATTTCGATGGTAATGATGTCATTGAAAGCGTCAAACTTGTTAAATTAGCACTTTGATCGTTCTAATTATTTAGCTGAAAGTGCTATGTCCAAATGTTACAACTTACCGTCAAAGGTTTATCTAAAGTAAATCTTTCAAAATAAACACTCCAAGAATTTAGTCACACAAATAACAGTGACATACACACAATTTAACGGGCTGCGTTTTAGGAAAGCAAAATTATCAAACTGATTTATTCGAGGAATTTTGTTAGTGGCATTTGGTGTGGTATATGTTAATTAGTGTTCTAATCAACTTTTAAGTTTTTTGACTTTTATGCAGGTATTAGAAGGAGAGAGAATGCGGAGATAGTATATTGCTATGAAGAGGTGTAGAGAATGATAAGATGAGAAAATGTGTGCTGCAGAGATTGAGAATAAAAGAAAAGATGAACGAAAGAAATTAAGGAGGAAACGATAGAGAAATTATAGGAAATTTAACGATAGAATAATTAGTTGTTGTAAATTGTAAGATTAGATAAAGTTTGAAAGATATTTAATTGAAATTATCAGGGTATGGAAAATACTGTAATTTGAAATGGAGAAAATAAGATGTTGATGAGAATTGTAACTTTGTGGTTAATGAAGCAGAGAACTTTGGAATTGATTAGTTAACAATGTTAAAATTATAAGAAATAAGAATTGATTTTTTACGTTTTCCTTTTAATGAAGTCTTTTTTTAGTTCGGTCATTTAATTTGATAGTATTAGTTTTGTTGCAGTTTATGATTGAATTATAATAATTCAATCATAAATGATAATAAATTGATTTTTAACGAATCTGTATAGAGTGAAGAGTATTAGTGATAATTATTTGTTTGTTTTTTTCTTTTTTTCTAATTTTTTTTAAAACTTTCTAGTTTTTAAGGAATGCCTTATGCTAATCAACCTCATGTTGCGATCACTGCCTTAAATGACGAAATTGTGCGATTCGTTTTAGAGGATACCGATTTAAGTGTTGCCAATTCGCTACGGCGAATTTTTATGGCTGAAGTACCAACTATGGGTAAATTTCAATAATTTTAATTTGCTCTGCAAAATATATAAATCTATCGATTCATAATATATAAGGTGTGATTTGTAGATCGAATGATAAATGTTGATAATTTCTCTTTAACTTAATGTTCAAAAAAAAGAGAAATTAGATATGGGCATCTACTGCCAAACTTCAATTATTAAGAATACAAAATTGTATTAGTTCCTCATTTAATGACTGAAGTAGATAGTATATCATGTGAAAGAAGTTATTAGTGAAAAAGTTAACTTAAATGAATGAATTAAATGTAAGTTAAATGAATAGATTTCATTAGAAGTAAGATGGATATTTTCAAAATGAACAAGGAATCTAGTCACATTTTCGACATTTTTTTTTTTTTTTGTTTTTGTTATTTTTCTCATATTTTTCATAATATATTCTATCTGTGTTTCTAAAGTTTAATTTTAATGTAACTTACAGCAATTGATTGGGTACAAATTGAATCAAATTCAAGTGTCCTGCATGATGAATTTATTGCCCATCGTCTTGGTTTAATACCGCTAACATCAGATTCAGTCGTAGATCAGATGCAATTTTCACGAGTTTGTATTATATCTATCTGTTTGCTTACATGAATTATGCATATCATATATTAATGAAATATTGAAGCATAAGACATATAATGCTATAAAATGTTAACAATGAATGGTTTAGATTATTTATATACTTTTGAAATAATTTTTACTATTATCTAATCTGTTTCATTTTTAGGACTGTCAATGTACAGAATTTTGTCAGTTTTGTGCAGTGGAAATGCGACTTCGGGTACGCTGTGACGATGAGGGAATAAGAGCAGTGACAACAGCTGATCTTGAAACCAGTAATCCAGATGTAGCTCCTGCATGTGGCGTACATATACGTAATCGTAATGCCGAAGAAAATGCCAGTGATGATATTCTCATTGTTAAGTTGAGAAAAGGGCAAGATATTGATATTAAATGTATTGCCAAAAAGGTAAACTATTAGTATTTAGTTACTGTAAAACTCAATTAACGTTTAACTGTAAATATTTTTCCATTATAATTCCTTATATTTTATTTGTACTTTATTATCAGTATATAGCTTTAATGTCATCACACATCAAAATTTTAGATTTTGAATTGTAATAATTAGTAATATTTTACGATTGAAAAAATTACTTTTTTACAAAAATTCTTTGAGAAAAGATTTTAAGATTGATTTAAGCATTGACTTGATCAAGTCAATTTTAAAAAATACGATTACTTCATCTAAAAATTACTGTTCGATATTCGCATCTGAAATCTTTTAATTTATCTGTTTTGAAATGAGTATCATATTGTTATAGGGATTCGGTAAAGAACATGCCAAATGGAATCCAACTTGTTGCGTAGCATTTGAGTACGATCCTGACAATGCTCTTAGGCATACAATGTTAGCGAAACCAGAAGAATGGCCAAAAAGTGAATATTCTCAATTGGAAGATGATGAATATGAAGCACCTTTCGATCCGATGGCTAAGCCAAATAAATTTTGGTTTACAGTTGAATCTACTGGAGCTTTAAAGGTAGATAGTTTCTTTGTTAGGATTCATTTGCTCATTTTTGAACAAAAAAGTTTGGACCAAATGATCTTTTTTGATCTGATGATCTTAAGTTTCTAGTTTCAAAATCTTATCTTAGTTCCTATTTAAAAAGATTAGAAGAAATTCTTTTATTCAAATAATACAATGTTGATATATGAAACGTCAATGTTGCAGGCAGAAAATATTATTTTAAGTGGTATTTCTGTTCTAAAAAAGAAACTGGCTGACTTACAAAATCAACTGCAAAGAGAATTATTACAACAAGGACATGTTTATCATTGATTCAAGACATGTTCATACTAGTCTTTGTTTTGTTTTAGCATTTTGTTCAGTTTTTTTTCAAACTTTTCCACACAAGTTAAGATCTCGTTGCGATGAAACATTGATAGATGTGAATTCGTTTCTAGATTTATGAATTAATTGTTTTTATGCTGTTTTGTTGTTTTGAATATTTTGTACAAAATTTGTCAAGTCTTATTAACTTTGTTCATTTCTTTATTTTAATAAATAAAAAATTCCTTTTATTTTGTAGTAATATACTTTTGTTCCATGCGGAAAATGAAATGCAAAATTCATTTATGATTTTTTATAGAAAAGAATAAAGTGATCCTATGGGTTGATTTATGATGCCAATGATATACAATAATTTTTGTAGTTTTTTTTTTTTTTACCTTCCTTTTTCCATTTCCTATCAACAAATTTAGGTGAAATTTCAAATTACTGTTTAAATGACTCAATATTTTGAGGTGAACAATTGAAAATTACTATGCAAACTATCGCAGTAGGATTCATATAAAAATAAATATAATATTAAAATTACTGAAAAAGAAAAAAAAAATTGATTAGCTTTTGATAGATTGTTCTTTTTTTAATATTAGAAGTTTAGTTATTGAAAAATATCTATCCATACATTTCTTTTTTTTTCCTTTAATTTCTATTTTTCTTTCTTCATTGAAATAGTTATTACTTTTTTTTTTTCTTCCTTTTCAAGGACATAAGATGATGAAAAAAAAAAAAGAAAAAGAAAGGAAGGAAAGAATCAAAAAAAAAAAAAAAAAATGAACGAAACATAGTAATAATTATAACGTTGCGATGTAAAATTTCAATTTTTTGTTTTCTTTTTTTTTTTTTTTACTATTCCTTTTCTTTTCATATTTTTTAATGCCATAAATTATATATCATTTTTATCATTATTTGTTACAAGTTTTTTATCATTTCCTTAAAATTTTTCTTTTTATTTCAATTTTTCTTTTTTTTTTTTTCTAATCTATTATTCTCATATAATTTTCTTGGGAAAGAAAAAATGAAAGAAAGAAAGAAGGAAAACTTTAAAGCTGGTTTCGAATATTTGTCATATATCATCTAAATTTGTAATTTGTAATTTTTTTTTTTCATTTTTAAATTTGTGAACAAGAGAAATATTTGCTTCAAAAAAAAAAGAGAGGGAGAGGGAGAGAGAGAGAGAGAGAAAAGATAAAAGAGAATGAAGAAATGATATGTTCATACAAAGAATGTAATAAAATGAATGAAAAAAAAAAAGAAAGGAATGGATGTGAAAAGAAGAAAATGATAATAGATAAGAATTTTTTATCCAATCAGAAATTATTATCATAATTTATCTTTTATAATTACTTAATTTTTTTTTTTTTTTTGAATAAAAATAATTCGAAACAAAAAAAAAATTTTGCCTTTTTTTTTCGAGAATTTGAAATATCTTGAATATATTAATCATTTGAAATAAGATTTATTCCTCTCTCTCTCTCTCTCTCTCTCTCTGTTTTTTTTCAAGGAGAAAATAATATTTTAGGATTTCTTTTAAATTTCAACCATTTAAAATAGTATTTTGGATATTTCTTTACTTCCATACAATGTTATTAATATTTTCAATTGATTTTGTAGATTAAAAGAAAAAAAAAATTAAAAATTAAGATTTGAAAATTTAATGAATGCATGTTTTTTTTAACTTCGAAATTTTCCAATTGTTAAACATTTTATTTTTTTTTTTTGTATTATAAAAATAATATCTAAAAAATTTGATTTTCAACTATTCCTCATTTCTTCAAAATTACAAGCATTAATTTAATTAATTTTAAAATAGTCATTCATGTTTCATTCGTTTTTTTTAAAAAAAAAAAGAAATTAGTGAATGTTTAAAAAAGATTAAATTTTTAAATTTTATTTTAACATTTATCTCTAAATGTTACCACCATTTTGTTTTCATATCTTTCCTATTTTTACTTTCTTTATTTTCCTAATTTTTACTAATTTTAGTAAGAAATTGAAGATAGAAATAATGATAATAAATTAAAACCAAAAAAAAAAGAAAGAAATGAAAAGTTCACTTTTAAAAATTTAACCTCAAAAAAAAAAAAAATTCGTACAAAGGTTAAATCAATCGGTGATATCTTACAAAATTTATTTCTTTTACTTTTTTTCATCCTCTCTTCTATTCTATTTTCCTACAATCATTCTAATACTATTATCATTTATTTATTTATTTTTTTTTTTAAACCACCAAAGCAATTACCTGAGATATTCGTCCTTTCATTTAACCTCTCATTAAGAGAGAGAGAGAGAGAGAGAGAGAGAGAGGGGGAGAGAGGGAGAAGCGAAAAAATTTGATATAACCTTGATTACATTACATGCAATAATTATTATTCATTCATAAATAGTGACAAATGCAATGATTAAATTTTCTTTTTAATATAAAAATTTGATTATAATTAAAATTACAATAAATTATTATAATTTTTATTATAATTTGAAATTATATTACTCAATCAACCATTTCATTAAAAATTTATAACTTTAGTAAAGTAATGAAATCAAATTATTTTGCAAAAAAAAAAAGATATTTCAATATAATTTATTTTATGATATTATCATACCTAAATTAATTGTAATTTTATAGCGATAGTGATAACAACAGATGATAATAGTGATAAAAGATGATAATAGTGATAATAACTGTATCAATTGCGCTGGAAATTTGAGGTTAATCTAAGGTAATAATATAATTCATTGATTGATTAAGCTGATAAGATATTAATTTTGATTGAAAAGTTGAAAATTTTTTTTTTTTGCGTGCGATAATCAAAGAAAATAAATGATTTAATTGAAACTTTAATTGAAAATAAGTACAGTATTAATTGAAAGTAAAAAAAAAAAAGTTGCATTGATAAAATTTTAATAATATGTTTATTTTATTAAAATTACTCCTTAAGACTTAAGTAATGGTATTATTATTTAATTTTACAGAAAGTTAAAAAGCTTTTTTTTTTCCACAAACTTTTTCAATATTGATTTATTTATATCCGGTATTAGTGTAAATTTTTCCGGATAATATTTATTTTTTAACTTAATGATTACATTTGGTCATTTAATTTTAAAGTCTAACTAACTAATAGTTTTATTTTATAAAATACTTTTTATAATATTTAAAATTCAAATGAATTATTTATAATTTAATCAATAATTTTGTTTTATTAAAGAATTTTCCTCTGATTTCATCAATAATTGCAATAATTAAACAATAATAACTTACCTAAATCATTTTGCATCATTTTGTTTAATAACAAATATTTAAAAAGGAATTATTAACTGTCCGGTTCTTTCTACAATTTACTTTTTAGTTAAAGTAATGAAATTAGAAATTGTAAATTTGGCATAATTCAATAAGAAATAACCATGTTTATCTTTAAAGCAAATCCGGTTTTTGTTTAAAGCAAATCCGGTTTTTCTTGATGCAAGCATTACTGTAAAAAAGTTAATATCTTTTATAATATTTAATTGCCTTTTCTCTCTTCCTACTTAGATATATGATTGTTATAGATGAAAATTTTAAATTGAATTACTTCATTAAAATGCTTAAATTATGTTTACAACTAAAAATTATAATTTCAATATTTCAATTTTAAAGTTTAATTTAAATTTCTTTTTTTTTTAAATATATATTATAAGGAAATAGTAAAATGATTCATTGGTATATTTGAATAAATAAATTATTCGCATATGCAAATGAGTATTATCAATTTCTGAATCTGAAATCTTTTGATCAATTAATTTGAATGAACAGAAAATTTTAGAAAACTTAAATTGATTGATCTAAAAGGATTGCAATGTTATTTATTTTAAGAAAAATTTTAATTGTAATTTATTATAATTTCATTTATTTTTTAATTTATTCGTTTAAATATTGAAATTAATTAAATAAACTACAAAAAACAATTAAGCTAAAATAAAATTAATATTTTTCAATTTATATTATTCAAAATTTAGCAAAAAAAAAATGTGGCACCACACGGCTATACTTAATATTTCTTATAAAAAAGAATTATAATTAATTGTCATCTTGTCATAATCACATTTTATGCATAATTAATTTCAATCTTATTTAATTTAAACTATCATTCATTTTTCTTTTCGTTTTTTTTTTTGAAAACAAAATTTTTTTAATAAAAAAAAATATTAAATAGATAATGAGCGAATTTATTTTATGTAAATACGATTTTTGCAGTTTAATTTTAGCGCAAATCAAAAATGATAAAAAATGAGAAAGAAAAAAAGCGAAAGGAAAAGCAATGAGTTAAAAAGTTTATCATTTAGTAATTGAATATAATTTACTAATTAAATATTTTTAATTAAATTAATTCTTTTTCTCACTTTTCATTTTTTAAGCAATTTAAATAAATTTTTGCATATACAATCTATTTCTCTTATTTATTTTGGTTGTTATTTTTACTTAATCTAAAAATCTAAAAATTGGAAATCATACTGGAAATGTTTGTTACTAATTTATTTTAAAAATGTTCTTTTTAAAATTTAAAAAAAAATGAGTCTTTTAAATATTTATTTATGTTTTCCATTTTTTTTGTTTATTTATGTTTTCCATTCGATTAGCTAAAAAATATTAAAAATGGAAGAAAGAAAAAAAGTAAATAATTGACACATTTTGAAATATTATCCAACTGTTGAAACAGATAATATAGTACTTAAATAATATTTAGTTGAATTATTAATTAGTTTTTTAATTAATTACTTTTTTTTTCTTTAGAGTTGCAACAAATAGTAATACATAAATATCGATTAACTAAAATATCAATTTGCAAATTAGAATTATAAATGAAATAATATTTTTATTTAAAAAATATAAATATGTAATCTTAAAGAAAATATCTTCTCATACGATATAATTTCAAATTTAAATTTCAAGGTTAAGTCAAAAATAAAAAAAAAAAGCAAATTAGTTTGTATTTGAATATTTACATGGCAATATTATACAT